GGCCATCATCATCTTGTGCCTTTGATCTCCATCCCCAAAGCACCGTCATGTTCACCATCGTCACCGGCGCGACACCTTAATCTCGCCAACTATTGTTTCTACAACTATCGCTACCGCTTAGTGATAAAGTAAAAACAATTACAGGGCGATTGCATTGCATACAATAAAGCGACAACCATATGGCTCCTGCCAGTTGCCGATAACTCCTTTACAAAACATGATCATGTCATACAATACAATTTAGCATCATGTCTTGATCATATCACATCACAACATGCCCTGCAAAAACAAGTTAGACATCCTCTACTTTGTTGTTACAAGTTTTATGTGGCTGCTATGGGCTAAGCAAGAACCGTTCTTACCTACGCATCAAAACCACAACGATTTTTCGTCAAGTGTGTTGTTTTAACCTTCAATAAGGACCGGGCGTAGTCACACTTGATTCAACTAAAGTTGGAGAAACTAACACCCACCAGCCACCTATGTGCGAAGCACATCGGTAGAACCAGTCTCGTGTAAGCGTAGCCGTAATGTCGGTTCGGGACGCTTCATCCAACAATACCACCGAATCAAAGTATGACATGCTGGTAAGCAGTATGACTCTTATCGCCCAAAACTCTTTGTGTTCAAGTCATGCATATAACATCTACGCATAGACCTGGCTCTGATACCACTGTTGGGGAAGGCAATAATTTCAAAAAAATCCTACACACACGCAAGATCCATCTAGGTGATGCATAGCAACGAGAGGGGAGAGTGTTGTCCACGTACCCTCGTAGACCGAAAGCGGAAGCATTATGAAAACGCGGTTGATGTAGTCGTACGTCTTCACGATCCGACCCATCCTAGTACCGAAAGTACGGCACCTTCACGATCTGCACACGTTCAGCTCGATGACATCCCACGAACTCTAGATCCAGCTGAGGTTGAGAGAGCTTCGTCAACACGACGGCGTGATGACGGTGATGATGAAGTTACTGATGTAGGGCTTCGCCTAAGCACTACGACGATATGACCGAGGTGGAAATCTGTGGAGGGGGCACCGCACACGGCTAAATAATCAACTTATGTGTCTATGGGGTGCCCCCCTCCCCCGTATATAATGAAGTGGAGGAGGGGAGGGCCGACCCTCTCTATGGAGAGCCCAAGGGGGAGTCCTACTCCCACCGGGAGTAGGATTTCCCCCCCTTCCCTAATTGGAGTAGGAGAGGAAGGAAGGAGGAGAGAGGGAGAAGGAAAGGGGGGCCGGCCCCCCACACCAATTCGGATTGGGCTTAGGGGGCGGCCCCACCTTGGCCTCTTCCTTCTCTCTCCCACTAAGGCCCAATAAGGCCCATATACTCCCCGGGGGGTTCCGGTAACCTCACGGTACTCTGGTAAATGCCCGAACTCACCCAGAACCATTCTGATGTCCAAATATATCCATCCGATATATCGATCTTTATGTCTCGACCATTTCAAGACTCCTCCTCATGTCCGTGATCACATCCAGGACTCCGAACAACCTTCGGTACATCAAAACACATAAACTCATAATACCGATTGTCACCGAACGTTAAGCGTGCGGACCCTACGGGTTCGAGAACTATGTAGACATGATCGAGGCTCATCTCCGGTCAATAACCAATAGCGGAACCTGGATGCTCATATTGGTTCCTACATATTCTACGAAGATCTTTATCGGTCAAACCGCATAACAACATACGTTGTTCCCTTTGTCATCGGTATGTTAATTGCCCGAGATTCGATCATCGTTATCTCAATACCTAGTTCAATCTCGTTACCGGCAAGTCTCTTTACTCGTTCCGTAATGCATCATCCCGCAATTAACTCATTAGTCGGATTGCTTGCAAGGATTATAGTGATGTGCATTACCGAGAGGGCCCAAAGATACCTCTCCGACAATTGGAGTGACAAATCCTAATCTTGATCTATGCCAACTCAACAAACACCATCGGAGACACCTGTAGAGCATCTTTATGATCACCCAGTTACGTTGTGACGTGTGATAGCACACAAAGTGTTCTTCCGGTATTCGGGAGTTGCATAATCTCATAGTCATAGGAACATGTATAAGTCATGAAGAAAGAAAATAGCAACAAACTAAATGATCATCGTGCTAAGCTAACGGATGGGTCAAGTCAATCACATCATTCTCTAATGATGTGATCCCGTTAATCAAATGACAACTCATGTCTATGGCTACGAAACTTAACCATCTTTGATTCAACGAGCTAGTCAAGTAGAGGCATACTAGTGACACTCTGTTTGTCTATGTATTCACACATGTACTAAGTTTCCGGTTAATACAATTCTAACATGAATAATAAACATTTATCATGATATAAGGAAATATAAATAACAACTTTATTATTGCCTCTAGGGCATATTTCCTTCACCTAGGTGTACTACTTGAACTCCCACCTATGATATTCCAAAATTTTGGTGATGCAATCTAGCACAATAGATACAAGGAGCAAAATTACTTAAATAAAAGCAACCTAATATCACACTACAGCTCCATTGTATATAACCCCCATCAACACATAACCAAAACTTTGCAAACTCGTCTATGTCAAACTTTTGAAAAAAAATGATACTAGAATGGAAGTACCATGTGTGTTGTATACCTAGTACTAGGGATCATGCTCAGCTGATATCCACCACAAATAGTGTTGAAATGATTTTGAAAATCAGAATCCTCAAGTAAATAGAACTGAAATAATACAACTGTGACAAGAATCCCTTGGAAATCAACTCCCCGGGACACATCCCACGATCGGGAGGCACCAAGACCAGAATTCTCGCCAACAATCGATATCATAGTGATTCCAAAACTCACGTGAACCTAAAACTTCTGTAAGGGGAAAGG